AATTTCAACAGCGTAACGGTGCCGAAAACTTTTCGAGCAAAAATGAAAGCACGATGAATGAAAAAGAGATCGAAAAAAAAACTAAAGAAAATTTGCTCTGCAGCTTAACTCAGGGAATCTCTTTATACATACTTGCACACGTTATATATGTAGCGTTGCATGTGTTAAGCTGTTTGACAGGCAATAACATAGCGCGCCGCTGTTAAGTGATATGAGCTAACCGTGAGATTTTCGGTTGAGTACGCTTAACAGAGACTCGCTATGGTATAGTACAATAAAAGAAAATTTAAATGTTAACTCACCAATGCCTTGACGTCGGGACGATGTTGAAAGCGCTTCCAAATCGATGATACTCGTGCAAAATTCGGTTCTTGGTATGTTTATGTAACAAGTATTTTTAAATGATTTTTCTTCTTTTTGAATACCCTATATATACTTAATTTATATTGCCGTTAGCGTGAAGAACGTACGATTTGGAGGTATGACTTTTCGACACCACTACCGTTAGTAGGAAAACTGTACTACCAAAAGCTTGCATTCGATTTTCTAAATTTAAACAAACTGACTTACGTACTATTTCATATGAACATTTTACACTTTGAACAACTTTTAAATTTCGTTATGCTCTGAGCACTGTTTACGCCCTATGCAACTTTTGTATAAATTTCTATGGAAATTAGAGCAATTTTTGCACGATTTCACCACTGTACTTTCCATATACCTTTACACTACTACTATATTTAACGTTTACGAGCCGAGTGGAAAAAGTTATATCCGATTTGGCTCAGTTGAGTAGGCTTGAATATTTTCTACTTTTTGGCACTTTTCCTATTTTAAACCATGTAGTTTTTATTTTTACTTTTGGGTTGTCTTGTGAAAATTTGCCGCCGGGCGTTGGTAATGCTTTCGCGACGCTAAAACTATCACGTTACCGAGGTGAGACACTCCCGAAGCCGATGCTTGTACTGAGCAGCGGTCTGGGGATTCTGCCTGATGCGTGCCTGTTGCTCTGTATCGTATTTGTCCAAAGCGTGGGAGAGCCTTTAATGCTTCTTTTGAAGTCCCGTATTGGTTTTGTGCAATGTTGTGACGGCTTCTAATGCTAATTAATTTGCCTTGGTAGTTCTCCAACTTTTCCAACAAAGTTGCAGTGCACAAAGCACTGAAAAATCAAGATTGGTGTGCACCTTCCAGGCAAATTATACTCACAACACCTACGTGTGTCAATGTGCGTTTTCTCAAGAAAAAAGCCTAAGACAAGGAATTGATTGCTTAAAACCAGCTTGGTTGAAAATAAAAAAATAGCTACACTTAAATACTTACGAGCTCGTAGCAAGCGAAAACTGTTGAAAGCAAAACTTATGTTACTGATTGAATAAATTAATATGGATTTAAATATTAACTTTTTCGTCTTATCTGCTCCACGGATCGATGAGAAAAGAAGGATATAAAGGTTTCAAGACTCGACCTAAGCTAATTTGACAAAACATTACTTCCGCCTGTCAAGTAATGATTTGCAATCGATATTTGTCCTTTTATCGATATAGGTAATTTTCGGGGTATGTTAATTAGAACGCCCCTGCTAAGTTGCCAAAGTTTGTTGAATATAGAAGGGAAATATTTTAAATGGAGAATTTGCAGGAATTCTAATTGGGGGCAAAAAATATTTTAGGTGAGATAATAATTAAAGTCTGCCACTCAAATTCATGAAAAAAAAAATCAGTAAGGCTTTAACAGCTCCATATATCGAAAAGGTGTAGGAAAAGGTCACATTAAAGTGCTCTTTAAATTTATTTTCTTCATATGAATAAGGACATGAAAATATTCTGTTGGGAAAGATTTTATTTTGGAAAACGTCCATTACAAATGGGAGATATTTGTTGTAGTGACCCGATCTTTGTTATTTTCACTGTAAATATTCTGTTAATGATGAGTGAAAACGGTGAGAATTTTCATGTTCCTAGCTGCATAAATGGAGAAGTTATGGCAAAAAATCTGATATCTGAACAATCAGTTGTATGGAGGCTATAGGTTATACCTACCCGATCTCCGCCATTTTCACTGAAAGTATTCTTTTGATAATGAGTTACAGCAGTGCAAAATTTACTGTTACTAGCTACTTAAATGGATGAGTTATAACGAAAAATCTTATATCTGAACAATCAGTAGTATGGGAGCTATAGGTTATAGTGTCCCGATCTTTGTAATTTTCCATCCAAGTTTTCTGTTGATAATGGGTGGAAGTATTTCAAAATTTCATGTTCCTAGCTGCATAAGTGGAGAAGTTATAACGAAAAATCTCATATCTGAACAATCAGTTGTATGGGAGCTATATGTTATAGTGGTCCGACTCTTCCGGTTCCGACAAATGATTAATACATTATAAAAATACACCCATCTACCAAATTTCATCCGGATATCTCGAAAACTGAGAGACTAGATTGCATACAAACAGACGGACAGACAGACAGGCAGACAAACAGACGGACATGGCTAAATCGACTCAGCTCGATGTTCTGATCATTTAACAATACATTTTAATGGGTCTATCTCTTCTTATTCTGGTACTTACAAACATCGGACCAAAGTTATAATACCATTTCATGCTCATGAAAGGTATAAAAAAAGGAGAAGGCAAACAGCTAGTAAAGACGGGCCGCTGCTTGGCCTCTCTTCGCCGGTGATGCTGGTGCTGCGGCGATTAGCGTCGATGCCGACAGAACGATCGCTGCACTTGTTTCGTTTCCCTCAGGCTCTGCCTCTGCTTATTCTCCCTCGCTGTTATATGTTCACTTCCAACCGGATGTGTTGAGTCTGCAAACCCTTATGTATATTCGCAGATCAGCGGCCGTTGACCTGGTCCACTCTATGTACCAGGAACCGCTGTTTGACGTGTTCTTTTAGCTGATATCAGCAGACGGACGATAGATTTAAGGTATGCGTATATACATATACAGTATATTTTGCTTTGCTGCCTCTATGCTTAAGTGCACATTTAAGATACCTACCCCAAAATGCGCATCAGAGGCATTATTTTTAACATTTATAAGGAAACTGCTCCGATAGATGCATTTAGCATACCTGTACATTGGCGATACCTGCCTTAAAAAATATGCGACTAGTATCAATTATCAAAGAAAGTATTACGTTTACCTGCACTGGCCCTACAATTACCTAATTTTACAACTTTTTATTTATTTTGTTCATCTCGCAGAACAACGAAAATGGCTATAAATTTATGTAGTTATATAGATAATTAGATACTATTCGGTAAAAATTTCGCTTGCAGTAATTTCTACGTGGTAAGTGCTTCTCCATTATTTGCTTTCATAGGGAATTGGATACCTTCCCCATTGAAGTAGTGAAGAAAATTCGCTTAAGTGCCTTTTTCGGTTAAGTGCACAAGTTTTTCGTGCAAAGAAGGATGTGCAGCTAAGCAAAATATACTGTATGTGTCGATGGATGTGTACTGATTGTGGATACGTGTTTACGGTGGTGCGTGTGGGTGTTGATCCAGGTGTGTGATGCAATCTGTAGTGCGTGTGGATGTTAATTGTTTTAACCCGTGTGTGTGTCAATCTCGGTGTCATAGATAAGTGGGGGTGCGTATGGGTGTTGATCCAATTGTATTATCTATGTAAATAAATATGCTGTAGTGTATGAGTATGTTGGCTAGGATGTAATGTGTGGGTGCATGTGGTTATGTGTCTTGTTGCTCCTAGGTCAATCTCAAAATTATCGAGGTCCTTTTGCACTGAACTGAAAGAAAAGATAAACAAATGGTTATTAGTAACGTAGCTTAAGCTTCGCGTTCGGGTGAGCATTTTTGTATAGCAACCAACCTTCATCCATACATACATACAAACATATGCACCTGCGCCTGCGCGCACCTTTGCATGAACATACATGAGTGCATTAAAGTGCAAGTACTCATCCGTATATATGCATGTATACATGTAGGCAAGCCACTAGAAATTTCTTGGTGCCCTGGATTAGGTTCAAGGCATTTCAATGCGAGAATTTTTTCTTACCTCGAATTCCGTTTGTTAGTAACCGCTAGATTCGCTACTGGTCGGTGCAAGTTACTATGCTTTCAAAACCCGCTTTTTGCACTTTGTTATATTTGCATTCGTATGTATATATGCATATATAGACATGTACATATATTCACTCCACTATATACCGAGCTATTTACCGCACTGAATAATTCTCGCTTGGTCCCTTCGCACTCACCTCTTTACACACACAAACTTTTTCCGATAAAGGAAAGATTTTTGTTCCGGATAATAATTACAAATATTTTTGTGTTTATTTATGCTCAACAATTGGTGTTTTTCTGCGTATGTACAGAGCGTGTTTATTAAATATTTAGATTTAAACATCCACTACTAGGGCGCGTGCGCGATGTCCGACGTTTTTGGCTGAACTGACTGGTCTCTCATTTGGCCCGATGATGGGAAGCGGCCGTGCGCGCTCGTTAATCATTTTTCGGACTTCACACCGCTGCGGCGGCTTAAACATCGTCCCCGCCCTGCAGGAATGCGTTTCTGAGCGTCTCCTGCAGCTCTTTCAGGGCGCGGATCGTGTTGCCAAGGACGCGGTGGGTGGTGCGGCCCTGGAAATTGGCCGTTTGTAGGCCTTGGGGAGTGCGCGCGATCGTCCGTTGGGCGGTCTTCTTGCGCGGCGGTTGCGGCGCCTGGTTGCGCGGGTTCTTCTGCGCCTTCTTCTGCCCACCTTGGGCTGCTGGTTTCGTTGGCCTGTGCGCGCGGGCCTGTTAGCTGCCACATGCAGCAGCTAAGCCACAAATCTTGCAGCTGCCTGGTGAGTCGTATTCGCCAGTTGTGTGGGTGAGCGCAAGGCAGTTGACACCCGGGATACTGCCAATCGCTGCGGTGGCTTCATGGCCTTGAAGGCCTGGCACGTCCTGAGCGCGTGGTACCGGTGGCAGAGCCGGCATTGTAGACAGTTGTCTGTCTCCGCCGTTGGAGCCAGGGGGCACGCCTTCCGTGCTGCCATGATGTCTTCGATCTGGAAGTAGAAGCAAAGGCAGAGAAACGAGAAGTACTTGGGTACAATGTTTAAACGGGAAGTTAAGACCCTTAATATACAGAAGGAAAATATGTATAGAATTATCTATTATGCTTTTGGAAGGAAGCACTCTTTGACAAGTGGCCGCGTGATAACTCCATTTTGTGTACGGACTTCCACGACACGTATGTGGTTATCAGGGCCATGGCGAACGTTTTCGATTCGTCCCAATCGCCACTCGGTGGGGGGGAGTGAATCTTCTTTGATCACGACGATGTCGCCTGGCGGAGGATCGCGTTGTGGGGTTTTCCACTTGTATCTCTTCTTAGGATCTTTGAGGTAATCTTCTTTCCAGCGGCGACTAAATTGGTGGTGAAGTGCTTTGACTTTCTCCCACCGGTTTAGTAGAGAGAGGTTTTCCGCATTAGGCTCGGGAATGGCCAACAGCGGTGCACCTCGAAGGAAGTGACCCGGAGTAAGTGCTGTCATATCAGCTGGGCCTTGAGAAAGTGCGGATAGAGGCCTCGAGTTGAGGACTGCTTCAATTCGCACCAGACGCGTCGTGAATTCTTCGAAAGTGAACTTGTGGGTTGCAGCGGTTTTCTTTAAATGGATTTTAAAGCTTTTCACTGCAGATTCCCACAAGCCGCCCATGTGGGGGGCGCTGGGTGGTATATATTGCCAGTTGATGCCTTAAGGGGCATATTTTTTGACAATGTCTGCGGAATATTCGTTAAGGAATTTAAGAAGAAGAGGAGGATTGAGAACAAGAAGAGGACTTTTTTTGTTAAGTGGCTTTTTATCTTGCAAAGCGCTTTTTTCGCTCGGAAAATTGCGTGATTGCGCTGCGTTGATAAGACGAATTTTTGCATATTGAAATTCGTTATGTGTCAGATGCGGATAGGTGATTGTAGCTAACCCCTTTAATTTGTTGCGGGTATTGCTCACGAAGCGGAACATGTAAGCAGTCACGCGGAGTGCTCGAGAGAAAGAAGAAAAGCGATCAAGAAAATCGACCTCTTCTTCAAGCGCGTGATATACCTCCACTTTGCGCTTTTCTGGTGGAGATGCACTGCATGCCTTTCACCTTGGCCATGCATCCATGTGGCAAGAGAGCCATTTTGGTCTGTGCCACCAGAGTGGGGAATTTGCCAAGTCCTGCGGTTTGCACCCGCGGGTGCCGAGGTCGGCTGGATTATCTTGGCTGGCAACATGGCGCCATATACCGGTTGGAAGATATTCCCGGATTTGGGAGGTACGATTGGATACATACGTCTTCCATGTACATGGTGGTTTTTCAAGCCAAGCTAGCACAATCTCTGAATCTGACCATACGAATGTGTTGCACGATTCCAATTTGAGCTGTTTTCGAAGAGTTGCGACCAGTTTTGCGAGTA